TGAATCAACACTCAGAAAAAAGCTTTCTCTAAATCAACTAAAAATCCCCCATCTCGGTAGAAAGGCGATTTTTACAGCAGAAGTGGAAGCTGAATTAACCCACTATATTCTGACACTCGCAAAATTGTTTTACGGCGTAACGCCCCGACAACTGAGGCAGTTAGCGTTTAATTATGCTCAACAGAAAAATATTCCAAATAATTTCAATAAACAAACTCAGTTAGCAGGCAAAGATTGGTTGTATGGGTTTCTCAAGCGAAATCCTGAAATATCATTGAGACAGCCTGAGGGACTAGTCTTAATCGAATTGCTGCATTTAATGCGGACGAGTTAAAACTTTTTTATTCAAATCTCGAGAAAGTTTTACAAAAATTTAAATTTGAAGCAAACAGGATATATAATATGGACGAGACGGGTGTAACCACTGTACAGAAGAAGTGCCCGAAGGTTTATGGACGTAAGGGTGTAAAAAAAGTAGGAGCTGCTATTTCAGGTGAAAGAGGAGGACCATTACAGCCGTATTTTGCATGAGTGCCACAGAAATTATATCGCGCCCATGCTGATATATCCCAGAAAGAGAATGCTCCTGCGCTGCAGAAAAATGGGCCAACTGGTGCTAACTATAAATGTTCAAAAAATGGATGGATGAATTCTGAACTTTTTCTTGATTGGTTAATGCACTTCGAAAAACAGGCAAATCCCACTTTAAATGACCCGATTCTCCTTATCCTTGACAACCATTCAAGCCATATATCCATAGAGGCATACGATTTCTGTAAGTCAAATCATATTCATATGGTGTCCCTTCCGCCACATACTTCCCATCACCTTCAACCCCTTGACCTATCCTTCTTTGGTCCTTTAAAAAATGCGCTATACAGGGAGTATGATATTTATTTAACTACAACAGGCCATGAAAAGATCACTGAATATGACGTAGCTGAGCTGTTAAATAAAGCGTTCGTAAAAGTCGCATCGATGGAGAAAGCAGTTTCGGGATTTCGTTCTGCTGGAATAAGGCCATTTGACCCTAACAAATTCAACGAAGATGATTTCGCTCCGGCCAACGAAATGAGACAGTTTGTAGTAGAAGGTTCTCCCGAACGTAGCGCTAATTTATTAACACTTGCATCTCAGCCAAATCTACAAAAAATTCCTAATCCGGCAACACCCGAACCTAGTGAAAATTCAGACGGTGAAGATAGACAGACAGCTCATATGCCAAAACAACAGCAGCAGGATCTACCTATTCAAGGTCATCTACCATGTACATCTACCGCTGAACAAGATCATCTACCATCTACATCTAAGTCTGGACACAACCATCTACCATCGACATCTACATTAAATAATTCATTCTTCCAATTTGCACCTATTCCAAGGAGAAAAGAAAAGGAAGAGTAAAAACAGTGTCTCGTTCGAAACAACACTCTGAAATATTGACTACACACCCCTAAAAGAACGATTAGAACAAGCTCAAGCAAAGAAAAGGAAAAAGACGTGAAAAAAAACATGAAATTAAAAAGTGTCAAAACATTAGGAAAGAACAATATTAAGAAAGATAATAAGAAAATGAAGAGGGCTCCAACACCTGAACTTGATGCACAAGAACGTGACGAGGAAGATGAAATCGAGAATGCTTATTTCTCGATCCCACCTCACTCCTTCTACGGAACCACTACAAGAAAAATAACGGCAAAAGAGAATGTTGCAAAAAAAGTAAAAAAACGCATATGTCAGTCTCCGGAAATTAAAAGAGGGAGAAATAAGAAACCAGCAACGCCTGAATCATCAGAGGTATCTGACATAGACGATAGTGACATTTGTGACGATGATGAAGTAGACGATATCAACCCCAACTATGTTCCATTTGATGCAGAACCTGACGTGCGGACTGAATTATGTGGCATATGTGGAGAACATGGAAAAAGCGAACTATGGTACCGTGTGTTGCATGTGGCTTATGGAACCACGCGGCATGTACCGGTAAAGATGCCCCCGAACAATACATTTGCGACTTTTGTCAAGGTTAAACAGATACCTACTTAACATTATAGGTATATAATCACTCGTACAATAAATATTTGTTCTTGCATGTGAATTTGTTTTTATACCACTGTATTATTAGTACTTGTATATTCCAAACTACTGCGCACTGTTCCCCACCCTGTGCGCACAGTTACCCCATGGGTGGGGAACGTGCGCAAATGCAATTTTTTACTTTTTCTAATTATATATGATTATGTTAAGAAATTCAATATCTATTATAGTGCATACTGAAAGTAGAATAATTAGGGTATCAGATAACGTTTTTATTTTATTTTTTATGTTTAAGAGTTGACCACCACAACGATTCTCGCTTAGGTGCGCACCATTCCCCCACCTTCCCCTATACAGCTGCACAAAATTATCAGAAATAAATGGCGAATGAGTAAATTGAGGAGATAAACAACAAATATATACTCTCATAACAAGTTAACGATTATGGATACGATGTTCTCCATTTTAAATGTAAATAAAAAGCTTAGTAACCCGGTCGATAGAGGCGCTGGTAATGCACGCGATTATAATTTTTACGGATGTGGGATCGACACTTACGTCGATTTTTTATTTTTGTTAAACCATTTTATTTTTATATTATACTATTTTTATACTACTTTACGCAGTACTTAATTCCAAAAACACGATCAAGAGTAAGAAAATATTGAATAATATCACATATTTTGGATATGATGGACGAAAGAAGAAAATAGAAAAGATAAAAATAAGACCACACAAGAAAAAATGGAAAACATTTATATAAGAGCTTGTTAAAAGTTAAAACTTTACACAAAACCAAGCTTGACTGGATTGTATCCGGTCCTATACCTTTGCTTTCTCGTATCAAAACAAATTGTCACTTTTCTACAGAAATTCTGGGAACTTGAAGAATTTACAAAAACCAAAATCTTTTCTGAAGAAGAACTAAAGGCAGATTCATTGTCTATCTTCCTTTAAAGTTACCTCTATCAAATCTTGGCAATTCAGAGATTTCAGCTACCAAATGTTTTTTCTCTTTGGAAAAGAAATTAAACTCTAACTCAACTTTAAAAACAGATTATACTCAATTCATAAGTGAATACTCATCACTGAATCATATGACTAAACTTCCTTCAAATTTAGTATCTCATCCCGACTTCTTTCTTCCTCATCATTGCGTTTACAAAGGTAACAAGATCCGTATCGTATTTGACGGATCTGCTAAAAGTGACACTGGCTTTTCGTTTAACGATAACTCATGGTAGGTCCTACACTACAAAGACGATCTTTTTACTATTATTTTACGTTTTCGAAAACACAAATTTGCTTTTACTGCTGATATCGGTAAAATGTATCGACAAATTCTTATAAAAGAAAATCAGCGTTGTTTACAAAAAATATTGTGGCGATCTGATCCAATTCATTTATTGAGACTTATACTTTAAATACTGTAACTTATGGCACTGCTTCTGCCAGCTTTTTAGCAACGCGATGTGTGCAAGAAATAGCTCACATTTACTCTGATAAATTTCCCGATATTTCGTCTATAATTTTACGCGATTTTTACGAGGACGATCTACATACCGGTGCTTCCACCTTAGACGAACTAAACATATTAAATCTTTAATCACTGAATTACTTTCAAAACATGGCTTTCATTTAAGTAAATGGAAATCAAACTCAACCAAATTAAAAATCGATGATAGCACTCCTTTGGACATAGGTTCCAATGAAACTGTCATAACATTGGGTCTCTTTTGGAATCCCAAATTAGACGTTTTCTTCTTTAATGTTCAACCTACTGCAAACAATTCTAATATTACTAAGAGACACATTCTTTCTGCAATTTCAAAGATATTTGATCCTCTTGGTCTCTTAGCAGCAGTTATAGCAGCACAATAATCGCTAAGATCATTCTACAAGACTTATGACGACTAAAAAATTTCCTGGGATGAAGTTGTACCCATGGATATTCATACAAAATGGTCACATTATCAATCCCAATTATTAAATCTTAATAAATTACAATTCCCTATAAAGAAGATGGACTGGAACCTCTTAGATGGGCCTTAGGTAGAGTGACTGACATCCATTCCGGCAGTGACGGAATTGTAAATAGTGTTACGCTAAAAAGAAACTTTGGCTTATACAAACGTCCGGTTGTAAAGTTATGTGTGCTACCGAACAAAAATCAACTTTAGTTTTCTTTTGTGTTTGGATAATTATATACAATTTCAGCTCAATATTAGCTTGCAGACTTTATACATTTGAATTTTTGAACCCCCTTATAGCGTTCAAATGGGGCGGCTTATGTTAAAACTTTAAGTGACCTAACGACGGCCCTACACGGCGCAAGCATGGCTTGGCGAGAGCTTGTCGCTAAGGGTAAGATAAGAAGTCCCGTTACGTCTTAACGGAAAGATCTGTGGCTGAAATTAACCCTCATCCGGCATTCATTCTGTTTCAATTCATCGAAGTAACAACATGTAGTATAATATTACATATTAATATATTTATAATATTTTTTATTTTCATTATTACAAACAATTAAGTTTTTTTCATATTATAACGTTTGCATAGAAGTATTAAATAGTTTCGTGTACGGTCTTTTGTTCTTTACTAAAACCACAGGAAATCCAAATAATATTTAGCAACAAGTAACTGAAGAATTCAAGATTTCCGTTTCCACTGAACAGTTACATAACAGAGCTGTTGCGAAATAAAACAATCGACGTTACGAAAAATTATTTTAATAGCTTACTAATATTATTCCCTATGTAGTTTAAACTTTATTCTTGGAAACCCTTTCTACACGAACAAAAATTAATAGATAAATTGAATTAATAGAACAAAATGTTGATAAATATAAGTTATGCAGATGCCATTGTCCTACTAACTGATAAAGATATCTCTAAATGTAGAAAAAGTATAACATTAAAAAAGTTCCTTTGCTGCATACCTCATAAAGTATATTTTCTTACCTCACATTTATCCCACTTCCGATCTGCCTTAATTGGATCCAAAAAGCATTTATCTATAGATTCAGTCGAGTGAAAAACAAAAGAGGTCGTACTGTTATAGCACGACATCTCGACATTCCTCACAGTTTCTATTTTCGGCGAATAAAACACTGCTAAAAAAGCGGCAGCTGTTAACAGTTGGGCACCTAGGAATAAAATTTTTTGACAATGGAATCTGTCAGCTATTGATCCGAAGATTGGCTTGGCCAGCATCCCGCTGATGGGGAGGACAGTGTAAATGAAGCCCACCACTACACTGGAAAGACCTAATTGTCTGGCATATGAACTAAGAAATGGTGTTACGGGGCTTGTTCCTGAAACAAAATGAATTATTTAGAAATAGTAAAATATTATCGTATCTTTAGTTATTTAACAGTATCAAATATATGAGGGTCATTCGTAAAAAGGTTCTTTGTGCCGCTGAGAAAGACTGCGACGTGCTGAGAGAAATCTGGAAACACTTGTAACAATTCAAAAAATTCTGTACGTCTTAGTTCAAGTATAACTTGAATTAATTTTATGTTAATGCCTCTGTCCGACCCTATATAAAGTTAAGATTTCCTGCGACTTCTTCTTCTTCTTCTTTAAGTGCCATCTCCCAATCGGAGGTTTGATATCATCATCACTATCTTTATCTACTGCTGCTCTGAAGACTTCTATAGAACTGCATTTAAACCAGTCCCTTAAATTCTTCAACCATGACGCTCTACTTCTTCCTATACTCCTTCCTCTTCTTATCTTTCCCTGTATTATCAGCCTTAGCAGTTCATATCGCTGTCCCCTCATTACGTGTCCCAGATATTGTAACTTTTTTATTTTTATCGTGTTTATTATTTCGCATTCTTTGCCCATTTCTCGCAATACTTCCGTGTTAGTTTTCTTCTGTGTCCATGCTATTATAAACATCCTCTTGTAACACCACATTTCAAAGGACTTTAACTTATTTATGTGTTCTTGCTTCAATGTCCAGCGTTCAAGTCCATATTGCAGTATCGAAAACACGTAGCATCTCAGTGCTCTTACTCTCAGTTACTTTTCCTGCCACTTGTAATTATTTATTCTAAGGAATAATTTTTGTAAACATCTCAAAGTCTGTTTATGGGAGAACTTTAGTTTTCAGGCAATGGAATAAACAAAGTCAACATGTTTGTTTTGTTTGGTCCAAATAAAGATCTTATTAGTCTACAACAATACCGTTTTCACTGTTAGTTAATATCCGATTAGGTAGTTACACGAACGAATTACTGTTCTTTCGGCAGAAAGCTGACTGAAAGAGATTCATATCGTCACTCGATACTAGACTTTTGTGTAAAGTGTACATAAAGTGTGTCTTCATCTCAGTCCACCAACTTAGATTTCTGTTAATTTTTTTATAAGGTTTTCTTTTTTTTTGTAACAATTTTTATTATAAAAAACACTAACGTCATTTTTCTCTGCTTACAGAAAAAAATACACTTAACAACTTTGTCTATTTTTATTAATGTTCCTTCTGGGGGAAAGTAGGATACACGAAATTTTGGAATTTCAATAATTTTTGAAAATCATGAATGCATAAATTAATAGAGATGCATATACTTTACGTTATCTCATGTTAGAGTTTTGGATCCAGAGACCACAAAGGCATTCCCGTTCTTTCTGACCAAGACAATAATGTACCAACCAGATAAGTACCTCTTTGTTTTATTTTGTTTAAAATCCTCAGCATCAGCATCAAAGAAGAAGTGAACACAGAAGTGAGTTATTTCTACACCATGTTAAATGATTTTGATTTCTTAATTTTTGATTAGTTTTTTTTTAAGTTTGTGTAAAAATTACCATACTTTATGAGAAAATATGTGAAGATTACTTTAAGATTAAGCTAGCTTCTGAAGAAGAATTTAGTTAAATTAACTTATTACATTATATCTCAAATTATAAAAGTAGGTCAGAAAGTATCATTGAGGAATAAATAAAATTTAATTCATGGGTTTGTTTACATTAGCTCTAAGCATTTCAAGCTATAAAGAAAAAAATCGGTGATGCCCTTTCGGCAATAGGATTCTCATTTATTTCTTTGTTCTGTTCATTTAATATTTTTTAAACAAAGGAAACATCCAAAGAACCACGCCCACAACTCCTCCGATTCTCAGCAACGCGGCCTCGTTCATTTTGTGTGCCCCAAACAGCTCCAACGCTTGTTGTGCTACACTTATTTGTCGCTAAGCGTATTGGCATGACCTTTGTGCGCTACACAGTGTCTTACGCATCAACTCTTCCTCTATCTCACCTCACCACTCTCATTGCAGTTGCTCTGTGCTAGCCTATAGACCTAGCAGCCTTCGAAGAAAGAGCTTCCAATCGCTGTTACCGCCACATGCGAAATTCCTGCTGATACGTTTTTTTTTATAATGCAAAACGGATTTCACATATTGATTTTCATCAAATTCAATCAAAAATTGAAAAGTGTATATATGTTTAACATGTTTGCAAATGGTGTAGAGATTTCAGTTGAAGGCCGAACGAAAATTCACGATGAATATCGGAGTAAAAGGCCTTCGGTTTCAGACGAAATTGTCGAAAAAAAGTTGAAAAAATATTGCTAGAAGATCGGAGGTTCACCATTAACAACCATGCTTTGCGCCTTCCTGAGATGTCCCACACCACAATTCATAGAATATTAACAGAAAAATTAGGCTATCACAAAGTGTGTGCGCAGTGGGTACCGAGAAAATCACAAACAGCAACGTGTCGAGTGTGTCTAGCAGTTTTTGCAATAATGTGAAGACATTTAGGATTCCATTGTTACAGACGACGAAACATGGGTGTTTCACTTATCCCTGAAAACTCGCTGAAGCCGAGGAAATGTAAACAAACGTTTACTGCTGAGAAAGTCATGACAACCGTCTTTTGGGACAGGAAGGGTCTACTTTGAATCGACTGTTTGCCTCACTGAACAACAGTTAACTCTGACAGATATTGTGAGACATTAAAAAGAGTGAAACGTGCGATCCAGAACCGCCGGCGAGGACGATTGTCCAGTGGTGTTAGGCTTCTTCCATGACAACGCTCGACCTCATGTCTCACATCAAACTGAACAACTGCTGAGAGATTTTGGCTAGACTGATGTACCCCCCTCTTACAGTCCGGACCTAACACCAAGTGATTATCACTTATTCCCAAAATTAAAGGAGGAACACTTTGGTGACTTACACTTTAGTACCGATGATGAGTCAAGTACCAGGTTACTCGATTCCCAAAGTATTGGCGGTAGAATCCTATAACATGGGGATAGAAAAGTTGGAGCATCGCCTGCAAAAGTGTTTGTACATAAACGGCGATTATTTAGAAAAAATAGGCGTAAGTTTTAAAACGATGTATAATACTAAGAACAAAAATAAGGCTGTCTATTTTTAAAATTCAGGGGAACCTTATTTAACGAATGGCCCTTGTATATTGGTTATAAGTAAATTCTTTGATTTTATTCCATTTCTGTCTCAGAACATTTTAAGGCTATTTCAATCAGGATATTAGTATAGATAGTAGTATATTTGACTTCAAAAGATATAACTTTGTGGTTTATTGGAACAGATTTTTTTAAGTAAATTATAAAGGTCTGTACATGATATGAAGTTTATCTACAGTACTTGTTCTAGATTCTTTGCAAAGTTTTCCTTCATGAAGTTTGAGAAGTAGTACATGTATAAAGTGGTGCCATAGCGAGATGTTAATTAATTTTTTAAATTTAGGTCTATGTATTTTTTATTATACAATTTAGTGAGTTTAATGATGTTTTAATGTTATTTGTAAGGTTTGTACAGTTTTTTTTGTCTGAATTGGATAATATAACAGGACGGTGTTACATGCCATACCGCTCATGCCACGTTGTACACTTTGCACGAGCGATTTGGGGGCATTGTCATCTCACGTGGTGGTGATGTGAAACGGCCACCAAGATCGTTAGATTTGACCCTGTTAGATTCATTCCTGTGGGGTTTTCTTAAGCGCTTAATTAAAAACCGTATATATGCAGAATGTATTTTCGAATAGAACTTTTGTAAGAGATTTTAGTACAAAAGTTAATTATTATTAAGTTTTTCTTAACGATGCAAAAATGTTATTTAGACAAATACAGCTCTTAATACTAGTATAGAAGTAAACCCGAATTATACTTTTTATTACAACGAATTGTAAAAAGAGGCAATTAGAGTAACCAAATAGATTTGAGTAAGCAATGTTATCTTATTTATGTTATACAAAATTGTATGATACTTTAATCTTACTAAAAACACGGATTTTTTACAATTTCAAACTCACTATAAAAATATTTTTTAAGTATATATGAGCTATTGTGGTGTTACATTAATATATGCTCATACACTATATATATATATATATATATATATATTATATATATAATATATATATATATATATATATATAAAGCAACCCAAAGTCTAGATGGCGAATTAGGTGAACTGCGAATCCAAGCTTACTAGGAGCTATTTGAGGATGTTAGGAATAATCTTTTGTCCAATAATTTTGCAAGGATTGTAAAAAAATATTTGAACACAAATATGATATTACGATTGACAGAGAAAAGTACACCACTTGTAACATCTAGAGACATGAACGCTGGTTGTAGAAACAATACAACAAGGAACTGAAGAAGGAAGCATAACGAGGAATTCCAGAAACTCTATGGAGATGAAAAGATAGGCTAAACCAAGGTTAACCGAATAAGCGGAACATGTACTACGAGTGATGAAAGACTCTGAAATACAATATTTCGAGCAAAAATCCCGATGGCACCCAAAAAAATAGAAGAATGCAGTAACAACCAATCTACGCAAAATGGAAGTACAACAATTAAAGATATCTACATAAGAGCGTTAACAGTGTACTTAAACAAAGCACCAGCTCATACTTCCACCGTCGCCATGACTAAATTGGTCGAATGGGGCTACAAACCGCTGCCACATTTAGATTTGATCCTATGCAATCTTCCAAACTTAAAAATGGCATTCGCTGCGCAGAGATTTAAGTCGAATGGGGAGGTCATCGTCGCCACGGAGGCCAATTTTACAGACTTCGAGAAAACATATTTTTCAGAGGGGTTAAAGAAGTTGGAACATCGCTGGGTAAGTGCATTGAGCTAAAAGGAGACTATAAAGACGTCCCTACCATTTCCAACTATCGAATGTGAAAAATCGGGTTTTTCAGATTCGATACCTTGTCCTTGCATTAGACGTGATACACTTTGTAGCAAAATATCGAAATTGTAGCTTGATAAGGAATGCGTGAAATATTTTGTTTACCATCGAAACCATGAATATGA